GATGGCCATACCAAGGGATGACAAGCAAGTTTGATGAATCAGACACCCCCAAAACCAATTTGGGAGCCTGTCCAGGACGCCACTACCAAGGGCAGGAGCACCCCCAACGGACAGTGGACGGGCAGGGTCAGAGACCAGAGCAGTGGCGTAGTCAAGGCGGCGGGTAGAGGCGAAGTCAGTGATGGCAGCGACATGTGTGAAAAGACTCGAGACAGGAACAGTCGGGTCGGTAACGAGAGAGGCAAGTACCCAAGGAACAAGAGGACGAGCAGCACGAATGTAGTCAGACAGAGGAGGCGGAGCGAATACAAGCGACGGCGGAGGAGGCGACGGGAGGAGGGGAGGACGAGACGCATGGGAACGGAGCAACATAGGGTGAGAGCCCGGAACAGGGGAGACAGGAAGAGCACGGGAGGGGCGACGAGACCAGATGTAAGACAGAGGCGTCAGGTCAGGAGACAGAGGAGACACAGGAGGAGAAGGAGGAGGGAAACGAGCCGGAGACGAGTCCGGCGGAGGAAAGACATGGCCGTAGACATGCAGGGGAGGTGGCGGCTGGGGAGGGGCAGGTAGTGTCAAACATATTTCTGTATGTTGTTAATAGACTACATAGGGTTGTGCCTAAGAGAGTACAGCCTCTAGGTTATATTTCCTTGTATGCCTTCATTCCAGTCATTCGTTCAGTTTGATATGGTATCATGAGTAGGTTAGGTCCCCACCGCCCACCAGCGCTTCCCGTAGGTCCTAGCTGTCTCGTCGGCCCCGTCACCCAGCGGCCCCACGGCCCCGTCACCCAGCGGCCCCGCGGCCCCGTCACCTAGCGGCCCCGCGGCCCCGTCACCTAGCGGCCCCGCGATACTGTCACCTACCGGCCCTGCGGCCCCGTCACCTAGCGGCCCTGCGGCCCCGTCCCCTAGCGGCCTCGCGGCCCCGTCACCTAGCGGCCCCACGGCCCCGTCACCTACCGGCCTCGCAGCCCCGTCACCTAGCGGCCCCACGGCCCCGTCACCTAGCGGCCCCACGGCCCCATCACCTAACGGCCCCGCGGCCCCGTCACCCCGTCACCTAGCAGCCCCGCGGCCCCGTCACCTACCGGCCCCGCGGCTGCGTCACCTACCGGCCCCGCGGCCCCATCACCTAGTGGCCCCGCAGCCCCGTCACCTAGCGGCCCCGCGGCCTCGTCCCCTAGTGGCCCCGCGGCCCCGTAGCCTGGTCGGCCCCGTTGCCCAGCCGGCCCCGTCGCCCAGTCGGCCCCATCGCCAACCCGACCCCTGTCGCTCAGCCGGCCCCGTCGCCTAGCCGGCCCCGTCTTCTAGCCGGCCCCGTCGCCCATTCGGCCCCGTCCCCCAGCCGACCCCGTCACCTAGCCGGCACTGTCGCTTAGCCGGCCCCGTTGCCCAGCCGGCCCCGTCGCCCTGCCGGCCCCGTCGCCCAGCCGGCCTCGTGGTACCGCACTACACAGTGCCCCACCGCACTGCGCCACACTGCACCGCCCTGTACCACACTGCACCGCACTGCACCTCAGTGTACCGCACTGCACCGCACGCCACCGCTTCACGCCGCTCACTGTCGCCCCATACTGCACACTACCGCCCTTCAGCTACTACAGCGACCATGACGGCAGACTCGGTGCTGTGCTTTGACGCGGAGGGTCAGCCAGTTGAGTTTGACGCGTGGCTCGTCGACCACCGCCGCCACCTCACTGATCAGCGGTAGGACGGCCACTCCCTGGCCATCCACGTCGATAGTACGCTCTCCTGCCCTTGCCTGTGCTGTCTGGTTGTCGCGTGACGCTGTTGCTCAGCTAGCGATCAGTCATGCCCTCCCCTTGTCTGAGCGCCCGCGCTTTAGGTCGGTCAGGACTACGCAGGAGTTCTTAGAGGCTGTTGTCGCATGCTATTCTATCCCGCCCTCTGCCTTCGTCGGTCGCCTGATCCTGTTCATGCTCTTTCCTCAGCTCGCGTCTTTCTCCACTGTCGCTGACCTGGCCGCCCACCTGCGCACGCTAAACGCGACCTGGCGCGCTGCCTGCATTGAGGCCTAGCTTTGCGTGTTTCAGCCCCCCATCTGCACTACCCTCTACCTGCTTGCCACCCGCCTCCCTGACCGCCTTGCCACCGCCCATGATCACTTCCTTAGTCTCCACCTCGCTGACCTCACCCTCACTGACTTTGTCGACACCCTGTCTGCCATAGAGACTCGTCAGCGCTCTATCGCCCAGTCTAGCGGTACTGTGCCAGTCCCTATCTTTCAGGGTTGTGGCCCCGCTCAGTGCACTTACTCTGATGGGTCTGCTGCTATCGCTGAGACAGCCCCTGCTGCGGAGACAGCCGACGTGGCAGCCGCAGCGCAGTTTCGTCCGGGTAAGGGTCGCCGCCCCAAGGCTGGGCACGGGTAGCGCGGGCGAGGGAGGTGGTTCGCTCATCTCGAGTACTGACGAGGGGGCTGGGACTGGTGCCCCGTACTCTGGTCATCTGCAGATTAGCCAGCAACTGCTGCGCACGGGTGCAGTAAGCGATAGCAGTCTCGTTCTCTGCCATCTCCAGACTTGCCAGACTCTGCTCCAACTGACTGATGTAGAGATCGTCAGTAGCCTTGCAAGTCTTCATGATGAAACGCCATGCTTGGTAGCCCGCATCCACCCGCAGACGACTCGCCTTCAACGCCATCTTGACAGCATTCGAGCAGCAGCGCGAGATCACCATGAATGTCAACAGCTGGGCAGAGCGGAACTGCGCGTACCGCGATGCATCCGACACAGGAGGGGCTTTTGTTGACCCGTCGACAAACCGCCTCAGTTGCGCAATCTCCAGCTGAGGATATATGGACTCGACCCACAACACTAAGTCGTGCCATCCCTCAAGGAGCCTTAGCACCACGATTTTGTCGGGAGAAAACTTGAAGTAGCCGAATTCATGAGCAACCCTCCATCCTTCGAGGCTGTCGGTAGAAAGGCAGTAGAGCCGTCAGCAGCATTGTCTGCGCCGTCACGACCGCCAGATCAGCCTTCTTCAGCAGCACTCTTCTTCTTCGAGCTTGACTCCTTTGTAGAGTCCCTACCGTCGCCCACGTTTGATCCTTCACCATTCGGCGTTTCTCCTTCTCGTAGAACACCGCGCGACTCTCGCACTCCGCTTTCTGCCAAACCTTCCACGTTCTCCTTGTCTCGGGAGACTTCCACTGCACGCGCCCGCGGATGATCCATCTCCCATAAGTAGTTGTTTTAACAATTTCAGATATAAAACTGTCAGATGTTACGCATATTTCCGCAGTTACGAAATGTGCGTCACGTGTACAATTTCTCGATGTCGTAGGTAGATTTTGCCGTTTTCGGTCCAGATCGGTTCTGTGGTTAACTTACGAAATCGCAATTTTCTCGCGATTTCGGAAAGTACCTTCAGCAGAAATACTAAGTCCCCGTTTTTCTGTCGAAGGGGTCTCTCACAAAAGCGAAGTCTGAGATGACTCTCTGCCGCGCTTCTGCCGAATTTCGTCTCTACCGAGGGGGTCATTAACAGAAGAGATAGCCGAATTGCCTTTCTGCCGAACTTCGGCAGAACACAATTTTGCGCGAACAGGTCCTTGCGCCACTCTGCCCAAGGTCCTGTTGGAACGCATTTCCGAGAGTCGTTTCTACCGAAAGGGTCGCCTGCAGAAATGTCTTCTGCGCGATCCATCGGCAGAGGACAACCCTTCTGCGAATGGTCCCTGGTGCCAATTCGGCAGAGGGTCTTGTACACTCTCGATTCTGTCGAGACCGCTTCTACAGAAGAACATGTCGATGTAGAAGCCATATGCAGAAAAAGCGCTCCTGTTCTGCCACTCCGACAGAACCGCTTTTCTGCCACCAACGAAAACTGCTCCTCTGCCACTTCCCGCAGAGCCTCGCCTTGTCGACAAATCTGCTCTTCGTCGATAGGCTTTTCTGCAGGGCTCTTGTCCGCAAACTTCGTTGATATGCCGCTTCAGCAGACTTCTGCAACCTTCGCATGATCAGGGCTATTCTCAACACCTCGTTTAGGAGGGGGGGGGGGGGGGGGGGGGGGGGGGGGGTAGTGTAAGGAATTTCCATTCCTTACTGAGTCGTCCACTACTGCGTACACCCGAACTCCTCGACTCGTCACGTTTGGCCTCAATTGTCGGCCCAACACTTTGCCGAGTCGCGTCCGGCACTGTGGCCACATTGCCGAACCTACCCACATCCCGAGGTTATCGCCCTAGTACGCCAACCCCTATATAACCTCGTGCCTTCATTGCAATAGCGACCTTGTATTCCCACATTATATTTCATTGACATCTTCCATATCATAGCACTCGAGCTCTTGTTTCCACATGTCTGTTGTTGCGCATTTGCCGCTTGAGGGGAGATGGTGCCATGTTGTGCCGTACATACATTGTTGTTGCCACATTACGTGTTTTGTTTTTGTTTTTCCTGCTTGCTGCTGTACAATCGTAATTTGTGTTATTGGTTTCCTGATTGGTTTTCTGCACTGCTGCGTGGGTGGCAGAGCTTTTGTGTCTCACGGTTTTGCTCATGTCTTCATTGTTTTACGTTAGAGAATGCTATGGGGTAGTTGGCAGAATTCGCCTCCAAACTTTCAAAGCCATGTTCTTCGCATCCCTCGCAGGCAATCGAACCCTGGCTCCCCTTTTACGAGCTGCGCTCTCCAAAGGGGGACTTCGCGCCTTGTAACTTGGGACCTGGGCTTTAAAGGAGGGACGCGCTGCGGTTTTCCTGTAGGAGAAGTGCTCGTACGCGGAAGCGGAGTGACTAGGGGTGTCAAAGCCCAGGTCCCAGATTAGAAAAGTCAGACCCGAACCTGCATCAAACTGGGGGCAGTTTGATGTAGGTTCGGGCTGGTAACTGAATCCACACCCCCTCGAACACAAAATGAGCCCAAGCCAAACCTGCAGGGTTTTCGCAAGCGAGAGAGACGGATTCCTCAGTCAGGGGCAATCCCCTCGGGGCTGGCCCCAGAAAGCCCAACAGCAACTCGATTCGAGATGCATGGGCCAACTTGACCTGGAAATATGGGACCAAGCAAACCATCGAGTATGGGGCTTTCGCGTGACAAGAGCAACAGAATAGAGACTCAAGGGACTAGAGTCACCTCAAGATCGAAACGCCGAGTACATTATAAGGTTTAACATGAGGCTAGGAGAGTAAGAGCGCCACAGGGAGGCGCCGCGAGACGGTAATGTGGCGCGAGGGTAGATAGGAAAGGCGAGGGTGGATAGGAAAGGCGAGGCGGAAAGTTGGCGCGAGGGCGAAAAAGAAATGCTGGGCGGAAGAAAAGCGCGAGGGCGGATAGGAAATGCGCTGCGAAAAGAAAGAAGCGAGGGCGGAGAGGAGAGGAGAGGCGGAAATGTGACACCAGGGCGGACTGGAATGTATTAGGGGAATTGGAAGCCATGGCGGATAGGAAATGGGAGGTGGGAAGGAGGTGCGCCGCGGAGAAGAGGGCGTGGAGAGTGACGCTGACAGACCGCGTGAAGGAGATGCGAGGAGGGAAGGGGACGCGACAGGGAGAGGGGACGCGACGAGGAGAGGGGACGCGACGGAGGGAGGGGGCGCGCCGAGGAGAGGGGACGCGACGGAGGGAGGGGGCGCAGTGGGGAGAGGGGACGCGGCGGGAAGAGGGGAGGCGGCGGGAAGAGGGGAGGCGGCGGGAAGAGGGGAGGCGACGGATTTTGGGAACGCGGCAGGGGGAGGTGAGGCGTGCACCAGAGGGTAGGCAAGGAGAGGCGAGGGAGAGGCAAAGGTAAGGACCCATGGGTGGTAGTACCGAGGGATTGAAGCGTGAGGGTGAGGGAGGGGATGAGAGAAGGATGGGAGGGAGGGAGAGAGTCGGAGGGCAAGAGGCGCAGAAGGGGGCTGGTCGGGGGGGAAGGCAGAGGGATGGGTCGGGGAGGGGGTTCGAGGGGGGAGGCGCCATTAGGAAGGAAGCGAGCTTCTGTTTATGGTGGAGGTAGAGCGCGAGAGGCGCAGTGGTGAGCGACAGGGAGAGGCGCATGGGTGAGAGTGAGGAGGAGTTGAAGGGAAGGGGGGAGGAAGAGAGGCACAAGAGGGAGGGATAGGCAGAGGCGCTGGAGGGAGGGGGAGGGGGAGGGGGGGGTAGATACTGCCGGGAAAGAGCATACAGAGCAAGATAGGACTGGGAGCGAGACCCGTAAGGGAGGAGCGTCTAGTATAAGGGGGGAGTGAGTCGCGCAGGTGGGGGGGAAGAGGCCCAAGGGAGGGCGAGAGGCGTGGCAAGGAGGCAAGGGGGGAACCGCGAGAGGGGAGAGGGAGAGAGACGCCTGGGAAGAAGGGAGAGAGGGAGGCGCGGGGCGACGGGCAGAGGGAGAGAGAGGGAGGGAGGATGAGGGGCGCGGGTGGAAGATGGCTTGCTGGCGGGAGGCAAAAGGCATGATGCAGGGGGTGGAGGCAGGAGGTGAGTGGTGCGTGAAGGATGGAAAGAGGGACGGGCGGACGCACCAGGGGGGGGAGAGGGTGGGGGGGGAGGGCGTAGTGTGATTGGAGGAACGGGGAGAGACGCAGACGGGGGCAGAGGGAGAGACGCATTGGTATGAGGGAGGGAGAGGGGAATGGAAAGGGGGGGGGGGACCTCTTTATGTGAGAAGGGGATGTGAGGCGCGAGAGAGGAGGCGATCGCGCAAAGGACATTGGCGATGCGTGGCCCGAGAGGACACGAAGAGGGTTTAGGGGCAAAGGGGGATGGTGTGGTAAGGATGAAAGTGCTGCAGAGGGATCGTGACCGGCTGCGGCGAGATGCGAGGGGGAGTGCAGAGACGAAGACGTCTGCACGGATGCGCATGGCTTAGGAGGGAGGCGGGGGGGGGAGGGGGATGGAGAGATGAGAGGGAAGGCGAGGGGGAGAGGAGACGAGAGGGAGGGGTGGGGGGAGGAAGCGGGTGGGGTGAGAAGAGGTAAGGTGACGGCAGAGGGCTGAGGAGGATAGAGCATGCAGGGAGGAGGCGCATGGGGGGAGGATCGACCATGCAGAGCGGAGGGGATCAGGGGGGGGATAGAACACAAAGAAAGGAGGCGCATGGGGGGGGATAGAGCACGCAAGGGGGAGGCATGGGGGGCGGATAGAGCATGCATGGAGGTGTAGCATGGGGGCAGGTGAGAGCATGCAGGAGAGGCATGGGAGGAGAGAGGCATTGATAGAGAAGAGTCCCCAATATTGGTCTGCCACCAGTGTGGCCAACCCACAGGGCAATTTGGCCCATCACAATCTCCGTGTCTCTCCCATCCTGCCCCTGTGCATTCTTCTCCTGACCATGCGTTACAGGTATCGAGAGGCATGACACTGCGGCCACTGTACCGTGGATCCAGCCCGCACCGACAAACACGTAGGACCTGGCTTTAGGGCTCCAGGGAAAGGGCAGCACAGCAGAGCAGTGTGGCTCCATCGCTGGCTGAAAGGCACCAGCTTGCGTAGTTGTTATACTAGTAACGCTCTTAGATGTTTGAGTTTACAACTCGGATACTCAGTATTGTGACTGTAGGGGTTTGCATGTAACTTCCAGGTTTAGAGGAGATGTGTAAGGAATTTTATTCCTTACCGGGCTGTACTGCAATCGCGTACACCCGAACTCTCGGAAGACCAGGCCCGGTCCATTTCCGACGCGACCCCGAGGCGAGCCCGCGCCGCCTCCAACCCTTTCGACCGCGCCTTTACCCAACCAAGCCCTCTAGGCTCGTCGCCTAGCTAGAGTTCTCGCTATATAATGCTAGGCTAGCATTCTTGTACTCGTGATTATGATTCCGCGCACTCTCAGTTATTATTCATAAGATATGGTATGAGAGCTATTTTCCTGGTTCACCCCGCTTTCTCAGGGTAGTTTATTTCCAAGGCATGGTTAACCCTGCGGGGCTGCAAAGCGGTTGTCCGTGAGCTAGAGTTATTAGCTCACACAACTACGATAGCGTTTGCGCCCCTTGCGGTTTTCTTGTCACGGCCTTTCCCCTACCCGAAAGGCGTAGCATTCGCATCATGACTCGAGCCCAGCTAGACGAGGTCATGGCTTAGATGCAGGCAATGCAAGCCCAGATGGCGAGTTTGAATAGTGAAGTCGTGAGACTTCGGACGGAGAACACCGAGCTTCGCCAGACACGTGGTGAAGCGCGTCAGGAGTCGCCTGTAGTCGCAGAGGACGATGTCAAGTTAGAAGCCGACGACGCAGCGAGCGAAACAGTCCTTGATGAGCTCGCACGGGAGTTGGAGCAGGACGACATGCGCACTGTAACTGTAACGAAGATTAAACTCAAGCCAGCAACACCGCCCATGTTCAACCCTTCGGACAAGGCGACGACGGTGCAAGGGTGGTTGTTCAGCATGGAGCTATTCTTCGCAGCGGCAAGTGTGCATACGGATGACGCGCGCATTAATTATGCCGTGTCGCTGCTCCGAGGACCGGCGTTCGATTGGTGGCGACGACAGTTGGCGATTGGGACTCCGGCAGGAGTGAAGCAGGCGAAGGACGGGACTTCGGATTCTTCAAATCAACAGGCAGAAACAATATTCGGTACGACCACGATTCGCACGTGGAAACAGTGGGGCGCAGCTCTGTGAGCTCGTTTTGAGCACTCATCCGCCTCAGACGACGCTCGCATGAAGCAGCGCAACTGGCGGCAGGTGACTATTGTTCAAGATTACACTACATCGTTCTTGGCACTTGCGGACCAAGTCGACGACCTCAGCGAAGCGAAAAGGCGGGACAAATACGTCAGCGGGCTGCATTTCGATATTCAATACGAGTTGCAGCGGTCCCGTCCCAAGACGTTCGATGAAGCTGTCCAGCTGGCGTCAGCAGCCGATGCACTGCAGCAGTGGGTGAGAAAGAACAACAGGGATGTTGGTCGATTTCGTGGACAGTCTCCCCGCCCCACGATCAATGGCGTGTCAGCGCCCAATGAAACATTTCACGGGCTATGCTATCGATGTGACAAGTCAGGTCACCGAGCTAAGTACTGCCCGACGGCACCTAAGAAGATGAAGAACGACAAGGAGAAGCCGGGAAATGGGAAAAGTCAATAGCAGACGGGCCCCCTACTGACGAGGCTTTGTCGCCCGAACTTCAACGTTCCCACCAAGTTGTGGTACCGATACATGCTATCGACCGCACTCGGACCAATAACGGGAGCAAACCTGAAGATCACCCTGTGCTGGTCGAAGGCAAGGTGAACGGCAAAAAAATAAAGTTATTTGTGGATGGCGGGGCTATTCACAGCCTCATACACGTGACAACAGCAAAGTAGTTGAAGCTGACGTTGGAGAAATGTCTACCTGAAATCGACGCGAGACTGGTGGACGGAACTCCACTTGCAATTCGAGAACGAGTGCGCATGGTGCGGATGAAGTGTGGCGACGATTTCGGTTTCAGCATGCCCATGCTGGCCACGATGCTGGACGGCTGCGATATTCTGCTTGGGCGTGATTGGCTGCGAAAATACAACCCGAGGATCGACCAGACAACTGGCGAATGCAGCGTGCACTGTGCGAACGGGTGGCGCGTACTTCCGTGCTGGCGTGGGAGGGATCCGTTGTCGACACATGTCAACGCCATCACCCTCCAGCGAGCAGTTAAACGGGGAGCTGATTTGAACGCCGTCCACCTGGCCGAAGCGACGGTCGACGACACGCCAAAGGACATTGACACACTTTGTGCCAGTGTCCCTGCCGAGCTCGCCGCGCTGATTCGACAGTACCCGGATATTTTTCCGGATGATCTGCCAGCAGGATTGCCACCCGAGCGCCCCCAGGAACACAAAAAAGACCTGGAACCCGGTGCGCAGCCTACAATCAGGACCCTGTGGCGGCTGACTCAGCCCGAGCTCACGGAATTGCGGAGCCAGCTGGACTACCTCTTGGAGAAGGGGTTCATTCGGCCCAGCACGTCCCCGTTCGCAGCACCAATCCTGTTCACGCCGAAAAAAGACGGCGGGCTGCGAATGTGCATTGACTAAAGGGCGCTGAATCGGCGAACAATCAAGTCTCGCTACCCAATCCCACACGCGGACGATCTTCTCGATCAACTTCGCGGAGCTCGTTTCTTCTCGAAAATCGACTTACTGTACGCGGCGGTTACCATCAGATCCGAGTCTTCGCTGACGACTGCCACAAGACGACGTTCCGAACCCGCTATGGCAGCTACGAGTACACAATGATGCCGTTTGGCCTCACGAACGCGCCCTCCACTTTCCAACTCACCATGAATGGCGCATTCCGAGATCTACTCGACAAGTGTGTCATCGTCTATCTCGATGACATTTTGATCTACAGATAGACACGGGAACAGCACCTCGAGCAAGTTTTCCAGCGGCTGCAAGAAAACGGGCTCATCACGAAGGGCTCTAAGTGCGAGTTCCTAAAATCCGAACTGGAATTTTTGGGACATGTAGTAGGAGCGGACGGCATCAAAATCGACCCGAAGAAAATCACCACGATTCGCGACTGGAAGCCGCCGACGAATTTACACGAGCTGCAAAGTTTTCTTGGGTTCGTTAATTACATCCGATGGTTTATCCCTAATATGGCAGGGATAACCGGACTGTTAACTGACCTGTTGCGGAAGGGCACCTTGTTTGAGTGGGGGGAGAGACAGCAAGCTGCTTTTGACGAACTCAGAAATTTTCCGATGTCACCCCCGGTCCTCCGAATCGCCGACCCATCTCGATCGTTCGAAGTCTTAACGGACGCTAGCGATTTCGCCATCGGTGCGATACTGTTACAAGATTTCAGCGAAGGACTCCAACCAATCGCGTACGAGTTCTGGAAATTGCAGGCAGCAGAGCGCAACTACCCCGTCCACGACAATGAAATGCTCGCCATCGTGCACGCATTCACAGTATGGCGCTGCTATCTGACAGGGATCGACGTGACAGTACGAACAGACCACAAATCCCAACAGTACCTCCGCGCGCAGCCGAACCTCAATCCACGGCAGATTCGCTGGCTTGATTTCCTTGAAAGCAACTTCCACTACACCATCACGTACAAACGAGGGGCGAATAACATCGCCGACGCACTGACAAGACCGCCCGCCCACCTCGCCTCCATCATCGTCGCAAAATCCAACCCGCTGCTCACTGGCCTATTTACCCACGGCTACACCACAGACCCCTTTTTCACCCGCAACCTCCACCAGCAAGCCACCATAGCCAAAGGACCCTACTTCCTAAAAGCCGGTACTGACCGTATCTGGGTTCTCGCCTACAGACTCCTCCGCGAATTACTTATTCAAGAAGTCCATGATTCTAACCTCTACGGTCATTTCAGGGTTGATAAAACCCAAAAGTTACTTCACCGTTTTTATAATTGGCCTGACTCGGCGTCTGATGTGCAGGATACGTATCCGCTTGCCCGATCTGCCAGCGCATTATCAGAATTAGAATTGAATGATGGTAAAGTGAGAGTACACACAAATAAACCTAAGTGTTGTACCCTCTAAGAGGTAACCCTATACAGTCTATACAAACATAACAAATACAGATGTTTGACACACCCCCTAGACTGCATAGGGGAATTCCCTAAACAAGCAGCTCAGGGCGGCACTACTAGTCCAACCTCTGAGACAAGGGTCTGAGAGACCAGTCAGAAGGAGTACAAACAAGGCAAGAACAAGAGCAGGGCGGCACTACTAGTCCAGCCACTGGGAGAGGACACAAGTCCAGTCTGAGTACACATATAAAGGACAGTACAAGTCAAGGTCCTAGCAAGTGAGAAGCGACAGGAACTAGACCAAGCTGTACACAGTGCCGCTGATGATCTTTAGGCGCAAGCGCCTTCGTAAAGATATCAGCTGTGTTGGCACCTGAGGCCAAGTGTACTACGCGAGCCTGACGTCGCTGCTGTAGCTCACGCAGGAGGAAGTACCGCAGCTGAATGTGCTTCGCTCTGCCCTCGAGTCGAGGCTCCTGACACAGGAGGATCATGGCCCTGTTGTCAGCGAACAGGACCGGGGCAGAGCTAGGCCGCTCACCTAAGTCAGTGAGCAAGAAGGTCAGCCAGCGGAGCTCCTGTGCCGCCATGGCACCAGCGTAGATCTCAGCCTCACAGCTGGACTGCGCAACAGACAAGGAGCGAGTAGCTCTCCACGAGACGGCACCTGAGCCAAGGCTGAAGCAGTAGCCCTGGGTAGACCTGAGTGTCTCAGCGTCGTCTGCCCACGAAGCGTCTGTGTGTCCAGTAAGGACCACTGGCCTGCGTCCTCCAAGCACTAACCCCATGCCCGATGTAGTAGCAAGATAACGCAGAACCCTCTTAGCAGCAGACCAGTGCTGCGGTCGGTGTCTGCCTGTGGCCACAAAGCGCGCCAGGATGCTGAGAGGGTATGCGAGATCTGGGCGAGTGCAAGTCATCAGGTACATGAGGGAACCCACCAGCTCTGCGTAGGGGCCGCTGGGCTCTACCAACTCCTCAGGTACTGGAGCGGAGAGTCTGTGGTCTACAGGCAGAGGGGTGGGCTGTGCAGAGGAGAACTGAAGGCTGAACCTCTGAAGAACCTGGCGCACCAAGTGTGACTGAGTCAGGGTGATGGTGCGCGCAGCTCTGTCCCTGGAGATCTGCAAGCCAAGGTAACGGCGCAGTTCTCCAAGGTCAGTGCAGGTGTGTCTCTTCAGCAGCTCTGCCTTCACGAAGGCCAGTGCGTCCCTGTCTGCCGTGGCAAAGACCAGGTCGTCAACGTAAACAAGGATGTAGAACGGAGTCTGGCCAGCACGAACGAAGAGTGAAGGGTCTGCGGAAGACGGAAAGAACTGCAGGTCAGCAAGGGTAGCACGGAGAGTGTCGTGCCACTCACGGGGAGCTTGGCGTAGGCCGTAGACGGGGCGCCGTAGGAGCCACTGGGTCCCAGGAGGGAAGGTGCCAGTAAAGCCCGGAGGGCGACGCAGGTAGACCTGCTCGTGTAGGCTGCCCTGAAGGAAGGCAGTGGAGAAGTCGAGGGAGTGAAGCTCGTAGTCACGCTGAGCAGCTAGGTGTAACAGAACCCGAAGAGTAGTCATCTTCGGGGTCGGAGCGAAAGTCTGGAAGAAGTCCACCCCCTCGCGCTGACTGAAGCCTCTAGCCACATAGCGCGCCTTGAAGACAGGCGGCTCTCCAGGAGGGCACTTCACCTTGAAGAGCCAGCGGCCATCGACTACGTTCACCCCAGGTGGGGGAACTGCGTCGACGAAGGTGCCGGTGGATCTCCAAGATGCCATCTCCTGCTCCATGGCAGCTATCCACTGAGAGGCCCAGGGTCCCGAAGTCGCCTCAGCGTAAGTGCGAGGGGTCGGGATGTCGAAAGCGTCTGGGTCACCCTCAGGGACTAGCAGCATGGAACAGAGATGGGGAGCAGCCTCGGACAGGAAAGCAAGCTCGAACTGGCGGTCCTCCAGGACGTCACTGCCAAGGGCAGGAGCACCCCCGACAGACGGAGGACAGGCAGGGTCAGAGACCAGAGCGGTGGCGTAGTCAAGGCGGCGGGTAGAGGCGAAGTCAGCGACAGCAGCGACAAGAGCGTCAAGGCACGAGACCGGAACAGACGGGTCGGTAACGAGAGAGGCAAGGACCCGAGGAACGAGAGGACGAGCGGCACGAAGGTAGTCGGACAGCGGGGGGGGCGCAACAAGAAGGGAGGACGGAGGAGGCGACGGGAGAAGGGGAGGACGAGACGCGTGGGAACGAAGCAACATAGGGTGGGAGCGCAAGACAGGCGAGGCAGGACGAGCACGGGAGGGGCGGTGAGACCAGACGTGCGACGGAGGAGTCGGGTCAGGAGACAGGGGAGGGGACACAGGAGGGGAACGAGGGGGGAGACGAGCCGGGGACGAGTCCGGCGGAGGAAAAACAGGGCCGTAGACAGGAAGAGGAGGAGACGGCCGGGGAGGAACAGACGCAGGGTCGGGTGACGGAAGGCCGAGCAGGCGAAGGGCGGACACCGGCGGGGACCGCTGCTGCGGCGGCACAACGGCGACACCTGGACCGCAAGCTGCTCCTCGGCTACCACCGGCACTCTCCACACCAGCACCCCCAGAGGGACCACCCCCAGGGCGACCGGGACGAGCACCCCCAGAGTCAGCGAACGGGGGCTGCGACGGCGGCAGCGGCGGCGGCGGCGACGACGACGGCTGCAGCAGAGGTAGTGGCGGTGGAGGAGGGGACTGGGGAGGGGACACCTGGGGAGGGGCGGCCGGCGAGGACTGCACAGGAGGGCCACCAGAGTCAGAAGACTCCTCAACCGGGTCCACGGACGGAAGGGGGGTGACGTGAGACACACCAGAGGGGGCGGGACGGGGAGGAGGAGGAGGAGGGGCAGGGACTACCGGGGAAGGGGTGACGAGGAACAGGGGGGGGGTAACCGGGGGACCACGGTGGGGAATGCGGCGGTAGTAGGAGACGGACTCGTCAAAGGTGACGTCACGAGAGTGAAAGAAGCGGTGAGACGGTGGGTGGTAAAAGTGCCAGTCGGACGCGTCAAGGGGAAAACCGAGGAAGACGCAGGGAAGGGTGCGGGCAGTGAGCTTGTCCGTGCCGGAGGCACGGACGTGAGCAAGGCAGCCCCAGACGTGGAACGCAGACGCGTCACCAGGAGACCCAGTCCAAAGACGGGTCGGCGAAACCTGCGGCTGCTGAGGGTGCGGCCACAGGTTAAGCTGGTGAGACGCGTAGCGCACAGCGAACGGCCACAGAAAATGGGGTGCACCGGCATGGATCATGGAGGCGCGAGCGACCTCCATGACCAAACCGATGCGTCGCTCAGCGACCCCATTCTGCTGTGGGGAGTCCGGTAGGGTGAACGTCTGGGTGATGCCCTCCGCACGACAAAAGCGACCAAGGACACCGGAGGCAAACTCGCCACCACGGTCTGAGTGAAGACGCAAGACAGGGAGACTGCGGTGGACACGCGCAGAGACAAGCCAGGGGATGAGAGCGCCAGGCACGTCGGCCTTGCGCTCCAGGGGAAAGACTGTGGTGTAACGAGTGAAGTCCTCGACAAGCACAAGGAAGTAGCGCTCTCGACGCGGCCCAGGGACGGGGGCGGGGCCCCAGACGTCCAGGTGCAGGGTCTGCAGCGGCGCGGCGGTAGGGGGAAACGAGGAGGAGTGAGGGGCACGGCGAAGCCGACCCTCGACACAAGGCGTGCAAGGTGGGGCGGGAGAGGAAGGAAACGCGCGGAGCGAACCTGGGAGACCAAGGACGAGACCGTGCTGGGACATGTGACGCAGACGCGGGAGCGCAGGGTGACCTAGGCGGTGGTGCCACAGGAGGGTCGGGTGAGTGAGGGAGCGACAGGAGCAGGCAGCAGCAACCTGGGTAGACGCAGCCACCTGAGGGGGCGCTCCAGCCGGGGGGGTCACGGTGTCCAGAGTGAACAGGCCGGACACCGGGTCCCGGGGGAACGTGGACAGGGGGGCACCAGTGGCGGCCTCGGTACAGACAGCATACCGCTCGTGGCCAGGGAACGTAGTGGTGACGCCAAGGTCCTGGAGGCAGCCGACACCAACTAGGTTCCTGGAGAACGAGGGGATATGCAGACCTGTAAGAGAGCCCGAAGGAACCGCCGGACACGGAAGGGTGGTGGAACTGCGGGCCACTACCGGACCGCCGGAGGGGTCAGCAAGAGAAACGGCAGTAGGAACAGGAAGCGGCGTCAGGGTGGTGGAGTCGCGGAAGAAACACCGAGAGGCGCCAGAGTCCAAGGTGAAGGAAAGCGAAGCCGAGCGGTCTGGCGACGGAACCACGGCGGAAGCACCAAGACTACACAAAGCAGGGGATCCTATGCCTGACGCAGCAGGGGAGGCTAATCTAGGCACACCTACATTAGGCAACAATGAGTAATAAGTCGGAAGCACACTAGAGTCATCAGCATACATCACATGCAGAGCAGAAACAATGGCATCCATGTCCATATCAAAGATCTGAATCTGACGACTAAGCAAACTGTGCCAGTCCGGGAGGTCTGGCGACGGGCCGAAACGCTGACGAAAGAGGTCGTCCAGGCGACGAAAGCAGCGGGGAGTGGAGTGACCGATCTTACCGCAAACGAAGCCGCGGCGAGGACCGGTCTGGATCTGGTACTGACAAAGCCCGCCGCCAGAGCCACCACGCGGCACACCACCACGCGCCCGGCCACCGCCAGCGCCGGGCCACCCTGGCGGGAGGACACTCGTCTGCCGCGTCTGCGACGGCTGCTGCGGCTGCTGCGAAGGCTGCGACTGCGGCGGCTGCTGCGGCTGCTGCACCTGCAGCGGCGGCGACTCAGCTGAACTGGGCAGGGCCCCCTCGTCCACTCCAGCACCAGGCGACCCGACCCCACCACTACCCCCGCCCGCACCCCCGCCGCCTCCTCCGCCGCGCCCAGCCTTGGGGCGGCGGCCCTTCCCCGAACGGACCTGCGCTGCAGCAGCAGTCTCAGCCACTGCGGCAGAGCCGTCGGAGAAGGTGCACTGAGCGGGGGCACAACCCTGAAAGATAGGGACCGGCACTACACCGCTCGCCTGGGCGATGGAGCGGTGGCGGGTCTCTATAACAGTCAGGGTGTCTACAAAGTCAGTGAGGGTGAGGTCTGCGGGGTGAACGCTAAGAAAGCGGTCGCGGGCGACAGCAAGGCGGTCAGGGAGGCGGGTGGCAAGCAGGTAGAGGGTAGAGGTAATGGGCGGCTGGTGGGCTCTAAGCTGGGCGTCAGTGCAGGCAGCGCGCCAGGTCTCATCTATCGAGCGCAGGTGGGCAGCGAGGTCAGAGACAGTGGGGAAAGATGCAAGGTCAGGAAAGAGCATCGGAAGGATCAGGCGACCCACCGAGGCAGCCGGAGGGGTGGAATAGCGCTTGATGACAGCATCTAATTATGCCTGAGCAGTAGTGAGGGACCTAAAGCGAGGACGCTCGGATGGGGGAAGGGCGTTGCTAATGGCAAGCTGGGCAACAGCATCGCGAGAAAGCCAGACAGAGCGCGCACGGGCAGTGGCAGCAGTAGACTCACGCTCAGTGGGTGTGGGGTCAGCGGGCAGAATAGCAGGGGGGTCTGGGCAGGGGAGCGTACCGTCAAGGTGTGCGGAAAGCGGTTCACCATCCTGCCGCTGGCCAGTGAGTTGGCGGCGGAGGTCGGCAAGCCACGCCTCGAACTCCAGGGGCTGACCTTCAGCGTCGAAGCGAAGCTCCGCCGCCATCAGGAACAGTCCAGTGCGGTGCAGGGCAGTGAAGTGCGGTGCAGTGCGGTGCAGTGCGGTGCAGTGCGGTACAGTGCGGTGCAGTGCGGTGCAGTGCGGTACAGTGCGGTGCAGTGCGGTATAGTGCGGTGTAGTGCGGTGCCAGGCAGTACAGTGTGGTGCGGGGCGGCACGGAGCAGGGCGGGGTGGGGGGGAACCGTACCAGTGCGGAGGACGGGGCCGGGGCTGGCCCGACGGGGCCGGGCTGGTGCGACAGGGCCGGGACGGGGCGACGGGGCCGAGCGGGCGCGAAGGGGCCGGGCTGGGGCGACGAGGCCGGGCGAGTGCGGCAGGGCCGGGCTGGTGCGACGGGGCCGGGCGAGCGGGACGGCGGCCGGGCGGGTGCGACGGGGCTGAGCGGCTGCGACGGGGCCGGGCAGGGTGCGACGGGGCCGGGCGGGTGCGACGGGGCCGGGCGGCTGCGACGGTGCCAGGCAAGGGCGACGGGGCCAGGCGGCTGCGACGGGGCTGGGCGGGCGCGACGGGGCCAGGCTGCTGCGACGGGGCCGGGCGGGCACGACGGGGCCGGGCGGGTGCGACGGCGCCGGGCGGCTGCGACGGCGCCGGGCGGGCGCGACGGAGCCGGGCGGCTGCGACGGGGTCGGGCAGGGTGCGACGCGGCCCAGGAGGGGCGCTACGGGGCCCAGGAGGGGCACGACGGGGGGGGCCCAAGAGAGGCGCTACAGGGGCCCAGGAGGGGCGCTACGAAGCCCAGGAGGGGCGCGACGGGGCCCAGGAGGGGCGAGACGGGGCCTGGGAGGGGCGCGACGGGGCCCAGGAGGGGCGCGACAGAGCCCAGGAGGGGCGCTACGGGGCCTGGGAGGAGCGCGACGGGGCCTGGGAGGGGCGCGACGGGGCCTGGGAGGGGCGTTACAGGGCCCAGGAGGGGCGCTACGAAGTCCAGGAGGGGCGCGACGAGGCCCAGGAGGGGCGCTACGGGGCCCAGGAGGGGCGCGACGGGGCGCTACGGGGCCTGGGAGGACCGCGACGGGGCCCAGGAGGGGCGCTTGGTGGCCTGGGAGGTGCGCGACGGGGCCTGAGAGGGGCGCGACGGGACCTGGGAGGGGCGTTACAGGGCCCAGGAGGGGCGCTACGAAGCCCAGGAGGGCCGCGACGAGGCCCAGGAGGGGCGCTACGGGGTCCAGGAGGGGCGCGACGGGGCGCTACGGGGCCTGGGAGGGGCGCGACGGGGCCTGAGAAGAGCGCGACGGGGCCCAGGAGGGGCGCTAGGGGGCATGAGCGGAAGCGGGAGGTGGGGGGGGGATCCTACCTACGCGTGATACCATATCAGAATTAGAATTGAATGATGGTAAAGTGAGAGTACACACAAATAAACCTAAGTGTTGTACCCTCTAAGAGGTATTCCTATACAGTCTATACAAACATAACAAATACAGATGTTTGACACGCATGAAGTCTTCTCGCCAGCGGCCTGCTGGACTGCTGCAACCGCTCGAGCCACCCAAGCGACCGTGGCAACACGTGACGATGGACTTCGTCACGGGACTCCCGGCCACCGTCACTGGCAACGACGTCGTCCTCGTTTCCATTGATCATTTGATGAAGATGGCGCACTTCGCACCCTGTCACACTACCATCGCAGCCGAAGATACAGCAAACCTTTTCATCTCCACCGTTGTTCGTCTGCACGGCCTACCATCAGCGATCATCAGCGACCGCGACCCAAAATTCACGTCCAAGTTCTGGCAAGAGACATGGGCACAGTACGGCACCCGACTACAATTTTCATCAGCCTACCATCCTCAAACCGACGGCCAAAGAGAGCGAACCAATCAGACCATGGAGCAGCTGATACGCACCAACTGCCCAGATCCTGCCCGGTGGGAAGAATCCCTGCCCATGCTGGAATTTTCCTACAACAATGCCCTATCTGCTACGACTAATCACTCGCCGTTTTTCCTCAACTACGGGATGGATCCGACCGTCTCGGCGATAACCCACATCGACAACCCCGTGCCACGTTCCCAACAGTTCGTGACCAGTTTGCAAGCTGCCCGGGAAAAAGCGATCGAATTCATTCGCAAGTCCAACACAACCGCCCGACGCTATACAGACCTTCATCGCCGCGATATCACGATGGCCGCTGGGCAACTGGTCCTTCTCGACACGAAGAACCTTCGCCTGCCTGTTGCCTTCAAAACTCTGACCACGATTCTGTGGACCTTTTCGTATTGTCAAGATGGTGACACCTGTCACGGCAAAATTATTACTTCGGACAAGTGGCGCATTCGCGACGCTTTCCACGTCAGCCTCCTTCGTCCCTACGTCGCCAGCACATCCGCCCTCGCACGACCAGCGGCCGCCCCTAGTGTCCGCCCGATAGCAAAACTGACCCTTGAGCCTTTCCGGCTTTTGAGTCATCGCGTCCGCCTCGACACAACTGGACGACACGTGGATTTCCTTGTTCGCTGGGTCGATCGTACAAGTGAAGACGACACGTGGGTCATTTCTGACTCGCTTCAGGAACACTCAATGCTCAAATCTTATTTGACTCGAAAAGGCGTTCCCGATGTTGATCACCTTCCTAAAGAGGGGGGGTAGTGTAAGGAATTTTATTCCTTACCGGGTTGTAATGCAATCGCGTACACCCGAACTCTCGGAAGACCAAGCTCGGTCCGTTTTCGACGCAACCCCGAGGCGAGCCCGCGCCGCCTCCGACCCTTTCAACCGCGCCTTTACCCAACCAAGCCCTCCGGGCTCATCGCCTAGCTAGAGTTCTCGCTATATAATGCTAGGCTAGCATTCTTGTACTTGTGATAATGATTCCGCGCACTCGAAGTTATTATTCATAACAAGATGGGTATTTGGTTACAAATCTAGCACCAATTGTCCCCGGACAAAGTTCGTAATGACAAGAGAGGCTGCCATGGGTACAGTGCAGATGCTGGTGACGTGTACATTCCGGTTCGCTAGGGACACAGAACCTAGTCTGCCCAAGCCACCTCACCGCCTTTTCCTTCTTGCAGTTCTAGCGCGAGGGCTCGTTGGCGAGGGCAGGTTGCTGTTGCACCCCGTTCGCAAATTTGTTACGTGACAGCTGGAATTCGCCAGCTTGACAGACCTCGCCCGCACCTCTTGCTGAACCTAAACCCCCGTTGACCTGACTTTGTTTTTCTAATCTGGGACCTGGGTTTTAACGAGGCGATAACAGTGACCGCTTCTATAGTTTCACGTGCACAACTGTCAGTGTGGCAAGTGTGCAAAACGACGGGAGCTCCCTTCCCGAAGTTCGGAGCCAACGACGTGACGACGAGACCAGAGCGGAACGGAACGGAGCGGAATTCTACTTGCCACACGCCCTAAGGGAGTAGAGTTTAAGGTTTCGGGACGTCACAGAACCGAGACTTTATGCTCTCTAACCGTTCTAAAAACAACAAATACCGTATTGTACCTTCCTGCGACGTCCCGGGACGTCACAATTTGTTCTACTTTCCGCGATAACCGTCGAATCCTGATCTCACACAACTCTGCGGTGCCACCGTGGCAGCGGTACTACAGTGGTAATAGCAAAGCGGGACTTCCGCTGGTTCTTCTATTGTGAGACCGGTTCAGCGGCAGCAAGTAACGTGAAGCGAAGAGCCGTACGTGTGGTTTAGTCAGCGTCAGACTGCTAGCGGATAGTAGTAGCGGACTGGGCACTCAGTGCCGTATGCCCGATAGTAGCGGACTGCGCAGCTACCGTAACTGTAAGAGTGGTTCGCCGCTGCACCGACGTTGGCACACGAAAAGTCGGTCATAAGGCGAAGTTTTTGGCGGAATACTATGACAGATCTAAGTTGGATAAGATTCAAGGGACGGTAGAACGTACGGGTAAGATTAGGGTTAGAAGATAAAACGGATGGACGGAGGAACCAGGGAAGAGAGAACATCGAGATAGTTCAGTTCAGCCAGAAATGTCCAACCAAACTTAGGTTGTATTCGGCGGAATGTCACAGGGTCGGTTTCACCAACAGTGTCGGTTACAGAAATTGGTTCCGCCCAAGATTCGGACGAAACGCACGCGACGCGCTACACGAGTCGCCCTTTACATTTCTGCATGCTTATGTTCTGTTTTCGTCTGTAACCACTCTTTGGAGTGCAATTCACTGTTTGTGTAAGGAAAATTCCTTTTCCTTACTGGGCAACTACAGCGCGTACGCCCTCGACCCTCGGAAGACCAGGCTCAGCCGTTTTCCTCGGTCCCGAACCATTTCGTAAACCCAAACCTAACGCGCGGCGCTTCCGTGGCTTTCGCTAACCGAGTCGCCCCAACCTGTTTGCGAGGTTCTCGGCTAGCCCCGTTGTGCCTATAAATGCCTAGGCCCTCATTTGTATTGAAGACTCTTGAATCACGACTCCTTTATTACACTACTTGGTATTACTCTGATTAATTCATAACAGCTGGTATCAGAGCCCCGTTCCTGCCCGCTTAGTCTTCCGTAGTGTAGTCCGTTTATATCGGGAGAGGACCCGACAGAATAGAGGGTTGGCCAGCGGTTGGTAGGCGAGCTCGTTAAAGCTCCTCCAACTAAAAGCGTGTGCACCCTCAGATGTGTCAGGTAAAAAATTTCCAGCATGACTAGCACGCCGGAAACCTCTGCCCGTCGTAGTGTTAGGAACGTGACTCAGGAGGAGTTTGACGAGTTGCAAGCCAGGGCGGCCACAGTGACGACGCTGCAGGCCCAGCTTCAACAACTCGCGGACAAGTTCGAGTCACTGGGAAGCGAAGTTCAGACGCTGCGTAATGAAAACTCGTCACTTCGCCAGACGCGGGGTGAAACGCGTCAGGAGCGGCCTGTTACCCGAGACGAGGATGCTGCGATCGAAGCGAAGGCGTCGGCGACACCTGAAGCAGTTGAAAAAATCCACAGCGAACCGCGGGCGGCCATTAAAATCAAACCTCCCATGCCCCCACCGTTCAACCCGACAGACAAGACGACCACTGTGAGCGGGTGGCTGTTCGCCATGGAAGTTTTCTTCACGGCAGCAAGTATTAATGACAACGTCTCACGTGTCAACTTGGCTGTATCACTGCTGAGGGGACCGGCACTCGACTGGTGGCGCATGCATCTTGACGAGGGAGGAGCTCCGGCAGGGAATCAACGGGCGGCAGCTGGGGAGTTGAGTTCATCAACGGCAATGGCAGAACCAATCTTTGGTTCGACCACGATCCGCACGTGGAAAGCGTGGGGCGAGGCGTTGAAAAGCAGATTCGAGCACATATCCATGCGCGAAAACGCTCGCACAAAGCTTCGGATGTGGAGACAGTTGGGCCCTGTTCAAGAATACACGGCGTCGTTTCTGGCCATCTGCGACCAAATCGGAGGGATCAGCGAGGACGAGAAGATTGATCGCTACGTGGGCGGACTCAAACTGGAGATTCAACAAGAAATCGTCCTGCGAGCCCCGACGACCTTCAACGAAATTGTTCGCATGGCGGATGCGCTGGACGCGCGACGTGGACTCGCGAGAGCGGGTTTCCGGGAGGGAAATCGCTTTCGAGGCCAGCCCCAACACACATCAATCAACGGTGTGGACGTGTTTGCAGCCCGAGTATTTTCGGGGACCTGCTTCCATTGCAACCAGCCGGGTCACATGGTGAGGGACTGCCCGCCGCTGAAGAAGAACTTACCTAACGACAGGAAGCAGTCGGGAAATGGAGATCGTCAGTAGCAGATGGGCCACCTACTGACTTGACTGCGTCGCCCAAACGCCACCACCCCCACCAGGTTATAGTGCCGATTTGGGCTATCGACCATTCCTGGCTGAATAAGGGGGGTGAACCGGCTGATCACCCTGTGCTGGTTGAAGGGAGAGTTGGGGATACCCGCATAAAAATATTTGTTGATGGCGGGGCAAGCCACAGTTTAATGGATGTGACAAAAGCGAAAAAATTGCGACTGCAAATGGAGCGGTGTCTACCCAAAATCGACGCGCGATTGGTCGATGGCACGCCCCTGGCAATTCGGGAGAGAGTTCCTCACGTGCGAGTTACCTGCGGCGAAAATTTCAGCTTTACGACGAAGATGCTGGCGACAACATTGGACGGTTGCGACATGCTGCTGGGCTGCGATTGGCTGCGCGAGTACAACCCAAGCATCGATTGGCGAACAGGTGACTGCCGCATCAAATGGAGTGGCGAGTGGCGACGACTTCCGAAGTGGAACAACCCCGATTCTGCGACAGTCAGCGCGGTCACCATCAAGCGAGCGATGATTCGCGGGGCGCAACTGTACGCCGTTCGATGGATCGCATCCACGGCCGTCGATGCACCAGCCGACATCGACAAACTCTGCGCGGCAGTCCCCGACGACTTAGCGACATTGATTCGCAAACACGCCGACATCTTTCCGGACGACTTACCGCCAGGATTGCCACCAGAGCGAGAACACGACCATACCATCCAATTGGAGCCGGGCGCGCAACCGACGGTTCGGACACAGTGGAGGCTAACTCAGCCAGAGCTGGATGAACTTCGACGCCAGCTGGATTACCTGCTCGAGAAAGGCTTCGTTCGCCCCAGTACTTCACCGTTCGCAGCTCCGATCCTGTTCACCCCGAAAAAAAATGGCGGTCTACGCATGTGCATTGACTACCGCGCCTTGAACCAGGTTACCATCAAGTCTCGCTATCCTATTCCGCGTGCCGACGAACTCCTCGACCAACTTCGTGGGGCAAAGTTCTTCTCGAAAATTGACTTGCGAGGCGGTTACCACCAGATCCGTGTCAACGAAGCTGACTGCAACAAGACGGCATTCCGAACCCGCTACGGGAGTTACGAGTACACGGTCATGCCTTTTGGCTTAACCAACGCGCCTTCGACATTCCAGTTGACCATGAACGAAGTTTTTCGACCGCTCCTGGATAAATGCGTCATTGTGTACCTCGACGATATTCTGATCTACAGCACTACCCGGGAAGAGCATTTGAAGGATTTGGAAGCAGTCTTCTATCTTCTGCAGCAGCACCGACTCATCACCAAAGGCTCTAAGTGCGAGTTTTTGAAATAGAACTGGAGTTTTTGGGCCACGTTATCTCCATCGACGGTGTGAAAATTGACCCGAAAAAAATCACCACCATCCAAGACTGGAAGCCGCCGGCTAATCTCCGCGAACTTCAAAGTTTCCTGGGGTTTGTGAATTACGTTCGCCGATTCATCCCGAACATGGCGGGGGTAACTTCCCCTCTCACAGATCTCCTGAAGAAAGGCAAGTTTTATGAGTGGGGGGGAGAGCAGCAGGCTGCGTTCGACCAACTCAAACTTTTCCTGACAACACCTCCGGTTCTTCGCATTGCAGATCCTCACCGTCCCTTCGAACTCATCACCGACGCTAGCGACCTGGCTGTTGGCGCAGTACTGTTACAGGACTTCGGCGAAGGCCTTCAACCCATCGCCTACGAGTCACGAAAGCTGAACCCGGCCGAGCGAAATTATCCCGTCCACGACAAGGAGTTACTCGCCATCGTTCACGCTTTCAAAGTTTGGCGCTGCTACCTGACAGGCGCTGACGTGACAGTCCGAACAGACCACAAATCACTACAGTTCATCCGCGCTCAACCAACACTCAACCCACGACAGATTCGCTGGCTCGATTATCTCGAGTCAAATTTCCACTACAGAGTTACCTACAAACGAGGGGCCAGCAACATCGCTGACGCATTGACCTGCCCTTCAGTCCATACCGCCGCTGTCCTAATCACCCAAACCAATCTGCTGCTAACTGGACTATTTACCCACGGATACAGTACCGACCCATTCTTCACGACTAATAGTCATCCCCAACTGACAGTCAAGCAGGGGGCTTATTACCTAAAATCCGGTACCAATCGGATTTGGGTTCCCGCTTACCGTACCCTACGCGAGCTACTGATACAGGAGGCACACGACTCGAATTTCTCGGGTCACTACGGCATCGACAAAACTGCCAAACTACTGAGCCATCATTATTACTGGCCCGATTTGCCGACGGACGTGCAGCAGTACGTCACCTCCTGCGCCACATGTCAACGCATGAAGTCGTCACGACTTCGACCTGCGAGATTACTGCAGCCGCTCGAGCCACCCAGCCGACCCTGGCAACAAGTGACGATGGATTTCGTCACTGGCCTGCCAGCTGGTCCCAGCGGTAATGACGCGATTCTCGTCGTCGTTGACCGTTTGACCAAAATGGCACACTTCGCCGCTTGCAAGACGACAATCACTGCCGAGCAGACAGCGAAGCTGTTTCTCACGAACATCGTGCGGCTACACGGCATCCCTTCGGCAATCATCAGCGATCGCAACCCTCGGTTCACGTCCAATTTCTGGACAAAAACCTGGCAGCAGTACGGCACACGTCTGCATCTGTCCACGGCATACCACCCACAATCGGACGGCCAGACTGAACGCACCAATCAGACGATGGAGCAACTGATTCGTACAACGTGCACAGACCCGGCCCAGTGGGAAGATTCTCTTCCACTGATCGAGTTTGCGTACAACAACGCCCCATCAGCCACGACTACTCAGTCACCGTTCTTCCTCAACTACGGGATAGACCCGACAACCCCTCTATCACCACCGATAGAAAACCCGGCACCAAGGTCGCAGCAGTTCGTCGACAATCTCCGACAGTCTCAGCAAAAAGCCGCTGACGCTATACTTAAAGCCAACCAACGAGCTAAGCAGCAAGCTGACCGACGACGCCGTGACTTAACTCTTGCCCCTGGGCAATTGGTCCTGCTCGACACTCGAAATTTGGGAATTCCCCTCCCAAATAAATTACGACCAAGATTCTGCGGCCCATTTCGCATCATCCGCATGGTGACACCAGTCACCGCCCAACTGCAACTACCGAGCGACTGGCGGATCCACGATTCATTCCACGTCAGTCTTCTACGACCGTTCGTCCCGAATACAACTGATCTCGACCGTCAACATATCAATCCCACGGTCAACCCAGTACCCGAGCCGACGATCGAGCCATCGAAAATCGTCGCTCATCGCGTACGAGGTTCTCGCGACACAGCAACCGTTGATTTCCTGGTACGATGGGTCGATCGCACGACTGATGACGACCTCTGGGTCCCCGCAGCGATGCTCGGTGAACACAAAGTTGTCAGGGACTATTTACACCGACGACGTGCCCCGGATGTGGGTAGTCTCATCTCGGAAGGGGGGGTGGTGTAAGGAAAATTCCTTTTCCTTACTGGGCAACTACAGCGCGTACGCCCTCGACCCTCGGAAGACCAGGCTCGGCCGTTTTCCTCGGTCCCGAACCATTTCGTAAACCCAAACCTAACGCGCGGCGCTTCCGTGGCTTTCGCCAACCGAGTCGCCCCAACCTGTTTGCGAGGTTCTCGGCTAGCCCCGTTGTGCCTATAAATGCCTAGGCCCTCATTTGTATTGAAGACTCTTGAATCACGACTCCTTTATTACACTACCTGGTATTACTCTGATTAATTCATAACAGTTTGAAGTCTGAAGCTGAAGAGCACCCAGCTCTCCTACACTTCTCAGATCCAGTTAGGATTTTCCGCTGCTTTCTTGGGGACCTAGCGAATAGCCAGAAACTATCGCCCCAAGTCCATCAGTAACTCACGGCAATCGTGGTTCACCGACAGAGGCAGGCGCGATGCATCGAGGTCTCCGCCATAGCAGTGTGCTCGCGCTCGTTGCGGCGCTCGCGTGTGTCGTGCCGTGGATGGCCGTCGCGCAGATCATCAAGGATTCGGAAGGTGAGTCGCGCGTGCATGGGTCGCGAAGGTGTCGTGCGTGGTTCGCTAAGGTGATTCGTGCGTGCGTCGCTACTGTGAGTCGTGAGTGGGTCACTACGGTGAACCTTGAATTTGGCCGGTAGAGAAAGTCGCGGCTGTGTTACGCCCCGTGGAGCTCTTAAGGGAACGATTGCAACTTGCGTTGCGCCCTGCCATGCAAGGACTCTTTCCCGTTTAGTCTATGGTGCCTCTTACACGTTGCGCGACCCATCCGCCGACTTTGGTGGAGCCACACTCCACTCGCCACTCGCCACTCGCCACACACGCGGTCGTTGCTTCTCTCTGCGTCCCTCTCTGCTTCTCTCTCTCCTCGCTCTGCGTCACTCTCTTCGTCTTTCCCTGCATCTCTCTCTGCATACCTCTCTGCATCTCTCTCTGCATCTCTCTCTGCATCTCTCGCTCCTTATCTTTCTGCTTCTCTCTCTGCTTCTGTCTCTCCTTCTCTCTCTGCTCCTCCTCTCATTCTCTCTACTCCTCTCGCTTCTTCTCCCTCTTCCTCTGTCTCTCTTCTTCTCTCTCTCTGTCTCCCTTACCTCGTTCGCCACCATGGTCGCGAGTCGCTCCTCCACGCCCAGGCAGTGCCCACATCCCTCCGTGTTGCTCCTCGCTATGCGTCTCTCCCCGGGCTGGCAGGTGCTGTGCTGAATGATTTGCAGAGTGCGTGGGCAGTCAACTTCACGGGCTGGGCTCCCGGAGTGGACTGCGGGGGAGCTGTGGGCCTCACATGCGATCCAGACGGCATGGTCACCTCCATGTGCGTCTGCGCTCTGCTCGACTGCGCTCTGCTCGACTGCGCTCTGCTCGACTGCGCTCTGCTCGACTGCGCTCTGCTCGTCTGCGCTCTGCTCGTCTGCGCTCTGCTCGTCTGCGCTCTGCTCGTCTGCGCTCTGCTCGTCTGCGCTCTGCTCGTCTGCGCTCTGCTCGTCTGCGCTCTGCTCGTCTGCGCTCTGCTCGTCTGCGCTCTGCTCGTCTGCGCTCTGCTCGTCTGCGCTCTGCTCGTCTGCGCTCTGCTCGTCTGCGCTCTGCTCGTCTGCGCTCTGCTCGTCTGCGCTCTGCTCGTCTGCGCTCTGCTCGTCTGCGCTCTGCTCGTCTGCGCTCTGCTCGTCTGCGCTCTGCTCGTCTGCGCTCTGCTCGTCTGCGCTCTGCTCGTCTGCGCTCTGCTCGTCTGCGCTCTGCTCGTCTGCGCTCTGCTCGTCTGCGCTCTGCTCGTCTGCGCTCTGCTCGTCTGCGCTCTGCTCGTCTGCGCTCTGCTCGTCTGCGCTCTGCTCGTCTGCGCTCTGCTCGTCTGCGCTCTGCTCGTCTGCGCTCTGCTCGTCTGCTCGCTGCTCGTCTGCTCGCTGCTCGTCTGCGCTCTGCTCGTCTGCGCTCTGCTCGTCTGCGCGCTGCTCGTCTGCGCGCTGCTCGTCTGCGCGCTGCTCGTCTGCGCTCTGCTCGTCTGCGCGCTGCTCGTCTGCGCGCTGCTCGTCTGCGCGCTGCTCGTCTGCACTCTGCTCGTCTGCGCTCTGCTCGTCTGCGCTCTGCTCATCCGCTTTACGCTCTGCACTGGCGCCGTTCTCATCCGTGTTCTGCTGCTTAGTTGTGGGCTCTCTGCGGCTTTGTTCGGCGTTGCACATGCCAATGACGCGACTTTCACCAAGCACACGGGCATTTGTTGTCCGTCCGTCCGTCCTTCAGCACACAGAGAGCTCTTACTACGAGCATCACTGCCCGTCCTTCGACATTCTGAGACGTTTCAGCACGCTCGAGCGACAAGAGCTCTCAAGTGTCAAGAGCTCGCAAGTGTTCTACAGAGCATCACCATTCCTTTTATGTTGCACTGCAAAACTGTTTTAGTTCATAAGCATGGCCCAACACGGTTCTGGACCGTTGTTGCGACCCTGGAACGTACATCTCTTTGTGCTCAACCCCGTCTTGTTCTGCCTGCCCTTTCACTACTCCAGGCAGTTTTGGACTCTTATGTCGGCGGCATTCTTCACAAACCGTGTCACGCAGCTAACCCGCCTCACAGAGCTGTAAGTGCGTGCGTGCGTGCGTGCGTGCTCGCTCCAATGACGATACGTCAGGGGCTTAGTCAGGTGCCTTCTCATGTTTGCGTGTTCTTGTTCCGCTTTTCCAGTCCTTGCGAAAGCCATAGCCATACCATACCTACTTCCCCACTATCATAGATAGGGTCCGGTCTCTGTGCGCTCGCCTTCGCCTTGTGCTGTGCGCTCGCCTTGGGCCGTGCACTCGCTTTGTGCTGTGCACTCAAGGTCAACATCACGTCTTCTTCTCCTTGCTCCCTGTTCACCTTGTGGGCCCCCACCAATGCTTTCCACGGGCAGGAAGTTCCACAGTATAATATATCTCCCAGAGGACCCACTATACAAGCTCACATGGCTCAAGTCCCTGTGAGTCGTCCGTCCGGAGACAGCACTCCAGGGTAGGGGGATACATAGGGGAGAGAGCACGGGGCCTACAGAGCTGATGGGAAGGTGGTTGAGAAATGGGGGACTAGTTGAGGTGGCCCAAAACATGGTTAGGGGCTCCATAAGGGAGAGATACCCGAGCCTACAAAGCGGATGGGAAGGTGGTTGACACATGGGGGAAGAGACAGCAAGTTGGGGCAGGCAAGAGAAGGCACAGGAGCGATTTTTTGTCTTCTTCTGATTCGTCCTTTGTTTCACTTCTTTCTCCCACGTTTTTCCTGTGCGATGCTGTGTGAGCAATGCTGACGTTGCTGTGTGCATGCATTGCACTTATTTTCTCTGTGTGTTGTTCACTTTCTCATAGGAGTAGAGTACACATGATTGCAAGCATCATATTTCACACACACGCACTCGTGCATGGGCATGTGCATAAGCATGTGGATGTGCATGTGCATGTGCATGTGCATGTGCATGTGGATGTGGATGTGCATGTGCATGTGCATGTGCATGTGCATGTGGATGTGCATGTGCATGTGCATGAGTGTGTGCAGTTCTGTGGAGTGCCTTCCCACTTCAGCCGAGACCATTCCTTCCAGCATCACCAACCTCATTCAACTCACGAAACTGTGAGATGGAGCAAAGTGTGCATCAGTGTGAGATATTAGTGTTATATTTGTATCTTATATCATGCTAGGCTACTTATGCAATTAGTTGTTCACCAAATGCTGGTGTACACATGTGGGATTGGTCTGTTAATCCAACCCACTGGTGGTTGGAGCCTCCGAGCACCAAGACCTCAACGCAAGTGGCACCAATGGTGATTGGGATACCCAACTTCCTTGGGTCTACCCAACCTCTAGAAGCACTGTTTCCCCTTTTCTTCCTAGCCTTTGTTGTAATCTATATATGCTTGTTCTTCCACTGGTAATAACAACATTTCACATTCATTTAATTGCGCACGTCAGCAGCGTGCATGATGGATGACACACTTGATAAGAATAGTGGCTGTTTGGGTTGTTTGGTTGCTTGGTTGCTTGGTTGCATGGTTGCATGAGTGACATACTTTAGAAATGCCAGTGATGCATCCTACAAGTTTGCAGGAGCTAACCTATCTGCTACAGCATGGCATAGCATGGCATGGCATGGCATGGCTTGGCTTGGCATTGTGTGGCGTGACATGGCATGGAGGGTGTGGGGTTAAGGATCCTTGGCTTGCTGCCAGTCATGCATGCCAATCAAAGCACGTTTCAGCAACTCCCTGCATGTGTTCCATGGTGCCGGGTGCAGGGTAATTGTGGACTGTGGCTTTGGCGCCATTAACGGTGGTATTCCGCCTCTGAGCCACCTGACCAGCCTTGTGGACGTGTGAGCCACACACGCACTCTCCGCACCCAATCAACACCCACTTCCCGCACACCGCCCCCATTGATTCCCCATTTCGTCCACGCCCATTCACCACGCCCATTCCCCACGCCCATTCACCACGCCCATTCACCACGCCCATTCACCACGCCCATTCACCACGCCCATTCACCACGCCCATTCACCACGCCCATTCACCACGCCCATTCACCACGCCCATTCACCACGCCCATTCACCACGCCCATTCACCACGCCCATTCACCACCAGCCCATTCACCACGCCCATTCACCACGCCCATTCACCACGCCCATTCACCACGCCCATTTTCACCCCACAGCCCATTCACCCCCCCACGCCCATTTCACCACACCCCATTCACCACGCCCATTCACCACGCCCATTCACCACGCCCATTCACCACGCCCATTCCACCACGCCCATTTCACCACGCCCATTCACCACGCCCATTCACCACGCCCATTCACCACGCCCATTCACCACGCCCATTCACCACGCCCATTCACCACGCCCATTCACCACACCCATTCACCAGGCCCATTCACCAGGCCCATTCACCAGGCCCATTCACCCACGCCCATTCACCACGCCCATTCACCACGCCAATTCACCACCGCCCATTCACCAACGCCCCATTCACCAGGCCCATTCACCACGCCCATTCACCACGCCCATTCACCACGCCCATTCACCACGGCCCATTCACCACGCCCATTCACCACGCCCATTCACCACGCCCATTCACCACGCCCATTCACCACACCCATTCACCACGCCCATTCACCACGCCCATTCACCACGCCCATTCACCACGCCCATTCACCACGCCCATTCACCACGCCCATTCACCAAGCCCATTCACCACGCCCATTCACCACGCCCATTCACCACGCCCATTCACCACGCCCATTCACCACGCCCATTCACCACGCCCATTCACCACGCCCATTCACCACGCCCATTCACCACGCCCATTCACCACGCCCATTCACCACGCCCATTCACCACGCCCATTCACCACGCCCATTCACCACGCCCATTCACCACGCCCATTCACCACACCCATTCACCAGGCCCATTCACCAGGCCCATTCACCAGGCCCATTCACCACGCCCATTCACCACGCCCATTCACCACGCCCATTCACCACGCCCATTCACCACGCCCATTCACCACGCCCATTCACCACACCCATTCACCAGGCCCATTCACCAGGCCCATTCACCAGGCCCATTCACCAGGCCCATTCACCACGCCCATTCACCACGCCCATTCACCACGCCCATTCACCACGCCCATTCACCAGGCCCATTCACCAGGCCCATTCACCAGGCCCATTCACCACACCCATTCACCACGCCCATTCACCACGCCCATTCACCACGCCCATTCACCACGCCCATTCACCACGCCCATTCACCACGCCCATTCACCACGCCCATTCACCACACCCATTCACCACGCCCATTCACCACGCCCATTCACCACGCCCATTCACCACGCCCATTCACCACGCCCATTCACCACGCCCATTCACCACGCCCATTCACCACGCCCATTCACCACGCCCATTCACCACGCCCATTCACCACGCCCATTCACCACTCCCATTCACCACGCCCATTCACCACGCCCATTCACCACGCCCATTCACCACACCCATTCACCACGCCCATTCACCACGCCCATTCACCACGCCCATTCACCACGCCCATTCACCACGCCCATTCACCACGCCCATTCACCACGCCCATTCACCACGCCCATTCACCACGCCCATTCACCACGCCCATTCACCACGCCCATTCACCACGCCCATTCACCACACCCATTCACCACGCCCATTCACCACGCCCATTCACCACGCCCATTCACCACGCCCATTCACCACGCCCATTCACCACGCCCATTCACCACGCCCATTCACCACGCCCATTCACCACGCCCATTCACCACGCCCATTCACCACGCCCATTCACCACGCCCATTCACCACGCCCATTCACCACGCCCATTCACCACGCCCATTCACACACGCCCATTCACCACGCCCATTCACCACGCCCATTCACCACGCCCATTCACCAGGCCCATTCACCAGGCCCATTCACCAGCCCATTCACCAGGCCCATTCACCAGGCCCATTCACCAGGCCCATTCACCAGGCCCATTCACCAGGCCCATTCACCACGCCCATTCACCACGCCCATTCACCACGCCCATTCACCACGCCCATTCACCAGGCCCATTCACCAGGCCCATTCACCACGCCCATTCACCACGCCCATTCACCACGCCCATTCACCACGCCCATTCACCACGCCCATTCACCACGCCCATTCACCACGCCCATTCACCACGCCCATTCACCACGCCCATTCACCACGCCCATTCACCACGCCCATTCACCACGCCCATTCACCACGCCCATTCACCACGCCCATTCACCACGCCCATTCACCACGCCCATTCACCACGCCCATTCACCACGCCCATTCACCACGCCCATTCACCACGCCCATTCACCACGCCCATTCACCACGCCCATTCACCACGCCCATTCACCACGCCCATTCACCACGCCCATTCACCACGCCCATTCACCACGCCCATTCACCACGCCCATTCACCACGCCCATTCACCACGCCCATTCACCACGCCCATTCACCACGCCATTCACCAGGCCCATTCACCACGCCCATTCACCACGCCCATTCACCACGCCCATTCACCACGCCCATTCACCAGGCCCATTCACCACGCCCATTCACCAGGCCCATTCACCAGGCCCATTCACCAGGCCCATTCACCACGCCCATTCACCACGCCCATTCACCACGCCCATTCACCACGCCCATTCACCACGGCCCATTCACCACGCCCATTCACCACGCCCATTCACCACGCCCATTCACCACGCCCATTCACCAACGCCCATTCACCACGCCCATTCACCACGCCCATTCACCACGCCCCATTCACCACGCCCATTCACCACACCCATTCACCACGCCCATTCACCACGCCCATTCACCACGCCCATTCACCACGCCCATTCACCACGCCCATTCACCACACCCATTCACGACGCCCATTCACGACGCCCATTCACCACGCCCATTCACCACGCCCATTCACCACGCCCATTCACCACGCCCATTCACCACGCCCATTCACCACGCCCATTCACCACGCCCATTCACCACGCCCATTCACCACGCCCATTCACCACGCCCATTCACCACACCCATTCACCACGCCCATTCACCACGCCCATTCACCACGCCCATTCACCACGCCCATTCACCACGCCCATTCACCACGCCCATTCACCACGCCCATTCACCACGCCCATTCACCACGCCCATTCACCACGCCCATTCACCACGCCCATTCACCACGCCCATTCACCACACCCGTTCACCAGGCCCATTCACCAGGCCCATTCACCCAGGCCCATTCACCACGCCCATTCACCACGCCCATTCACCACGCCCATTCACCACGCCCATTCACCACGCCCATTCACCACGCCCATTCACCACGCCCATTCACCACGCCCATTCACCACGCCCATTCACCACGCCCATTCACCACGCCCATTCACCACGCCCATTCACCACGCCCATTCACCACGCCCATTCACCACACCCATTCACCACGCCCATTCACCACGCCCATTCACCACACCCATTCACCACGCCCATTCACCACGCCCATTCACCACGCCCATTCACCACGCCCATTCACCACGCCCATTCACCACGCCCATTCACCACGCCCATTCACCACGCCACGCCCATTCACCACGCCCATTCACCACGCCCATTCACCACGCCCATTCACCACGCCCATTCACCACGCCCATTCACCACACCCATTCACCACGCCCATTCACCACGCCCATTCACCACGCCCATTCACCACGCCCATTCACCACGCCCATTCACCACGCCCATTCACCACGCCCATTCACCACGCCCATTCACCACGCCCATTCACCACGCCCATTCACCACGCCCATTCACCACGCCCATTCACCACGCCCATTCACCACCCATTCACCACGCCCATTCACCACGCCCATTCACCACGCCCATTCACCACGCCCATCACCACGCCCATTCACCACGCCCATTCACCACGCCCATTCACCACCCATTCACACGCCCATTCACCAGGCCCATTCACCAGGCCCATTCACCAGGCCCATTCACCAGGCCCATTCACCAGGCCCATTCACCACGCCCATTCACCACGCCCATTCACCACGCCCATTCACCACGCCCATTCACCACGCCCATTCACCACGCCCATTCACCACGCCCATTCACCACGCCCATTCACCACGCCCATTCACCACGCCCATTCACCAGGCCCATTCACCAGGCCATTCACCAGGCCCATTCACCAGGCCCATTCACCAGGCCCATTCACCCACCCATTCACCACGCCCATTCACCACGCCCATTCACCACGCCCATTCACCACGCCCATTCACCACGCCCATTCACCACGCCCATTCACCACGCCCATTCACCACGCCCATTCACCACGCCCATTCACCAGGCCCATTCACCAGGCCCATTCACCAGGCCCATTCACCAGGCCCATTCACCAGGCCCATTCACCACGCCCATTCACCACGCCCATTCACCACGCCCATTCACCACGCCCATTCACCACGCCCATTCACCACGCCCATTCACCACGCCCATTCACCACGCCCATTCACCACGCCCATTCACCACGCCCATTCACCACGCCCATTCACCAGGCCCATTCACCAGGCCCATTCACCAGGCCCATTCACCAGGCCCATTCACCACGCCCATTCACCACGCCCATTCACCACGCCCATTCACCACGCCCATTCACCACGCCCATTCACCACGCCCATTCACCACGCCCATTCACCACGCCCATTCACCACGCCCATTCACCACGCCCATTCACCACGCCCATTCACCACGCCCATTCAC